ACAAACCTATATACGTATTGTAATATTAAAAAGACACGAATCCTTTTTCCTAATAATATGCAATTAGTACTGCAATGCACTAGTGACCCATTTATCGATGCCATTCTGCATGTTAATAGGGCACATTGTTGTTCGTTCTATATGATGCAGGTATATAACAGTACATGGGGGTAGATTAACTATAAATAGAACAAAGAGGGTTGTTGAACAGTAGATTGTAGCTTTCCGGAGGTAGTCGATAGCGTACGACCGAGGTCATTCACTATTCATGTCATCCATAAATAGAGCCTCTTCTCATTCACAAGAGCATCCGATCTACAGGTAGATATACCTTTAACACCTGCATATAAGATTTTAATTTGCAAGTCCAACGGAAACTGGTTGACGGGGATCACGAATTCGAACTTGCTCGTTCTCATCAGCACGGCATGGGCAGTAGAAAAAAGAAAAACTTGTGGGTATTTCATTCTTATCAGCCATGCAACCCCTAACCTATACTCTAATTCAAAGCCGAAGGATTGGGCGGAAAGTCTTTTTCAGACGTCTTCTAGATATCGTGGGAGTGAGTGATGTTTGGGGAGAGACCAATGAAACCACAGAAGTAACGGAAAATCTGTACAAAGTACTTCGTTAGCAATTGCCTGAATGACCCAAGTAAACCATAGAAAAACAAAGACTAGCGCTTACACTGTTATGCAGCACCCTTTTAGGAATCGTGGGAATATGAGGGTTGTGGTTGGGTAGGAAGAAATCAAACGGGAGAAATGGTCAGAATGGAAGCACAGAATGATCTGCATTACTTATCCAACATTTGCCTGAAGTTACAAGTGAACTACAGCAAATTTTAGACCAACACTTTGGTTGAATGTCATGAGTTAGGAGAACAGCCCAGCTTCCTTTTAGGAGTTGTAGGAATGTGAAGCTGGTAGTTACGGAGAAACAGATGATATGGACGAAATGAAGACAGAAAAGAACAGAAAGATTATCTGTAGGATATTACTTCCCAAACATTTTCTTGAAGCTTCAAGTGAACCACAGAAAAACTTAGATCAGGGTCCTACACTATGGTTCAAACTGGTAAGTTGGGTGAACAGCCCAGCCTCCTACTAGGAGTCGCGAGAATGTTAGAGTGGTAGTTGGGGAGAAAGGGATAATACAGACGAAATGAAGATCGTAAGGAAGTGAAGGATTAGTACTTCCCCAACAAGTTCCATGAGAAATACAGAAAAACTAACGATGCGATGAGGGCCTTTTACTTTGGTTCAAAATGGCGAGTTCAGCAAACAGCTCAGCCTCCTCTTAGGATTCGTGGGAATGTGAGGGTGATGGTTGGGGAGAAACACAAGATACGAACGAAATGAATATTATCTTAGATCAGGACCTTATACTTTTGTTCAATGTGGTGGAATGGTCCAGCCTACTTTATAAATCGCGGTTATAAAAGAGCGAAAGATTATATAAAGAATGCTGCTGATCAACGTTGCCTAATGATCCAAGGAAACAGTGCCAGCCTGACAGGGCAGCAAACGCTAGGTTTTTGGGACGCCTCTGCAGTATACACTTAAAACATTTTGATATTAAGCGTGTCGCAAAACAGACTTTGAAGTTTACGATGAAAAATGAATTTTGCCTAGTGAGTAAAACTTCCATTTTAGCTTTTTAAAATTTGAGGTCGTACATTGTATTATTTCACCAAACTTCCCTCTTTCAGGTATATCTAAACAAACTTGGATCGTTTTATTTGAACGAAAAAAACTTTTTTAAACTCATCCTTTAAAAGCTGCCTTTTGATCCTTTGAAACGTATCTACTACGATTTTATGGCATATTACTAAGCATTTCGGGTAGAAATAAACGGATGGTTTCGACTTTTTATTCCCAGAAAGCGCAGCAGTGCGAAAAGTTTCGTTTTCAAGGTAAATCATTTCTATCCTAAATATTTTTCTTTTTTAACCGGTTCACAGAAATTTAATATCTGTACCTAGCATGAAAAGAACAAAAAAACAAGATAAAACATCGACATTTTCTATTATAATATTCCGGTTAGTAATAATTACCTTCAACCCGCGTGAATCTATTTTTAATTGTTAGCTGTTTATACAGAATACAATAAAGTAGACTAGGTTACTCGTTACGTTTACTTCTTTATGTTGGTAAAATTCAATTAAAATCGATTCAGCCGTTTCAAGGATTAACCCGTACAGACAACCAGGCAAAAAAAAATTAAAGGATCGTTGTCTGACATACAAATAACCACATGTAGCTTAAGAAACACACATTTCCATATTACAAACTGATACTCAATCTTATTTAATATATAATGCATAATACGTGTAATGTCTGTAATGTATGTAGTTACATATTGAGAAGGACGGGTCGCACTTCATTAATTGAAGCATAATAGTAGCCATTTAATAAAAATGAACATAAACATATCATCATCATAAGGTCGTCAGTCCTAAGACTGGTTGGACACGTACCTCCACTTTTTCCTATCCTGAGCTAATCTTCGCATTTCCCTAAAACTAGAACAATCCATATCCTTAACTATCCTAACAGTAATCTAATCTAGGTCTCCCTCTACCCCTCCTAACTCCTGTTTCTGCTTCTAATATGTCTCTGACTAGACCTTCTGCCTGAAAAGGTGTCCTACCAACTTATCTCGCCTACTTCGTATTGACTTCCATAGAGTCCTCTGTTACCTCTGACTCATTCTTACTAGATACTAGTCCTTCTATATTACCTCGAAATCTAGTCAACTTAATACTATTATTTTTTAAAGATAACAAATCCTTTTCTATTAAGTAATTAATACTACTTTTGTTACGTTGTTTTTCTATTTTACAGCTCTCTGTGTTTACTAACACAAAACACAGCTTTTATTTAAAATCGTGAATATTTGACAGGAATATTATTCAGTTTTCTTTATTCTTTCTTATAATGTTCCACTGTCAACTCGATTTTTTATTAACACCTGAGTTTACAAAAGTTATTTGTTGCTTTTTATTTTTATATCGGAACCTTTTGTGGGAGTTTTTCGTTTTTCTTTTTGTATTTTTTTTATAAATGTCAGTATTACATAAACAGAACAAAGGCATTTCTTCCTTGCAATAGCAGTATATTTTCATTTGTAAAATTATGTCCGCAAGTAGGAGGTAGGTGAGTTCTGGATAAGAAAAAGCTTTTTCAAGAGATTTTCCAATAAAAGTTCCCCGTGAGCTTTGACACATTTTTTCACCAGCCAGCCAGCCAGGAGTAGTTGCGGTCGTTCACCTTATTCCGTGCTTTTATACTGCAATCGAAATATTTTCGCTTCCTTGTGAAACAGACATGTAACAAGTTATATTTTCGTTTAAATGGAACGTCGCATTAACAATAATAAAATATAATCGTATGTCAAAAACTTGTAAGGATTAAAAATTGTAGTCAATGTCCTATTCTTCGAAAATATTAAAGAAAAAGGCAGATTGGAAAGAGAGAAAAGTTGAAAATTATCTAATTTTTCTGAGCTGCATTTCTGATACATAATCGCTACAATTTGTTTTATTTTCTTTTAATGCTGTGGCGATATCCACCACATATTTTAAAAGTTTTTCTTTATGTGTACATATTGTAAATACCTTTCTAAATAATTTCTTTTCTATTTTCTATTAGGGTCTATAAAAATTCCCTCCTTTTGTAAATAATCTATTGTATCTTTCATATCTATTTAAATAACTCTATTACTGTACTTTCCTATAATCCCTGTAACATTTCACCCTTCGTGTACTAACCGCATGATGTCTGTACCTTTCATTCCTTCCTAATTACATTTTTACAATCGGTTTCTTCGGTGGTTGACTGGCCATCAATTTCTTGGTATTTCTTATCTTAAAGTTTCCATATTTTAATACTTCCCTACTCGTATCTACTACCCTCTCTATTCCTTCTTTGTAGAACAGTTTTTCATTTTCCATAAAATACCAAACCAGTTCGTCTTACGCCTTCAGCAGAACAAGTCTCTTCTCTTCTCCTTCAGTTACGCCAGTTGTTGTTAAGTTGTAAATATATGTTGTTGTTATCTAGTTTTAATTATTCGTTTTCTAAGTCCTCCTCAAAACCTTCTACAAGCAAAGTGACCCAAACAAACTTACAAAAATGCTAAAATAGTAACTTCTCTTAACCCATTTGAGCTAAAGATGAAATTTGTATTGTAAGTAAATCTTTGAAAATCTGGCCATTGCATGTAATGATATCAAAGAATGTAAAAGTGTATTATTTAAACAATTATGGTGGTGGTCTAGTGGCCTTATTTTAACACTGGTCCTCTAGAATCCCCTTATTTGTAAGAATATTCGATTAATCGAAAATAATCGACAGGTAATCCGATTGTAATTTTTTATATTATAAAAATGTTCATTTTTGTGCTTTTATCGAAATACAGAATAAAGACACAAAAGCTCCTGTAATTTGAATATTTTGATGAATTTCGAAAATTTATTAAATTTAAAACTAAATGCATTCAGAATACGGAGTTTTTCAACTTTAATAACTTATCAGTCTTTTCTGACGGCACCATATTATATATGGTAAATTTAATTAACTTTGACGTAATTTTCACTGACAAACTAATCTTGCAATTAATATTTTCGAAAAGCATTAACGCTGACATATATGCACGATATAATGTCACAACGCTGTTCATTTCTATGAATACATACATCTGTCTGCAAGTTTGCATTCCGGAAAATAACATTAGACATGCCTAGTCCCGTACTTGCACGAGGAAATTCCCGTAGGCTACGTCGGTATACCAGAATAATCTTATATTAGACGCTCCTCTGTTTCTGATTACAATAGTTGGAAGGATATATAACTGGGCTTTTGTTACAGGAGCAGTAAATGGTTGCAGGAAATGCTATCAGAATTTCTGAACTTCTTATGTATCGATTTCCATCTTATTCAAATATAATAACATTTGATAACTGAAAACTTTCTTAAATTGAAATACGATTTTTTTAGTTTCTAGGATTCCACACTATAATAAGGGTGCCAACGGAACCCTATTGCTGTACGTCTGTCCGCCTAGCAGGTGCTTCTAATTTCTTAACGAAACAAGGTAAGAATTTAATATTATCATATAGAAAGACATAAAAACTATATAAACTGCTAGGTATTAGCGTCAGGTGAAAACCAGAAGGTACCCTACCTCAACGACTACCCAAAAAATATTTCTGGTACTTCTATTATAAAATTTCTGTTTGATTCGCCGTTCTTATTTTTTTATTTATATTTTTCGAACCCTCTTTTTGCATTCACATTTTTTGTGGCTTAAATAGTTGCGGTAGACTCCAGAAGAATATCGGTTTTTCATTAAATTTACAGTTTTTACTGTGTTGTTTTGATTGCCAATTCGCCAGTCATATATATCTTTTGATATTCACAACGATTTGGATTTATTATCTCTTTTTATGAAAGGATTTATCTAATTTAGAAGAAGAATTGATTGTCTTTAATAACTATTTTCATTATCTACCAAAAGAAAATATCTTGTCAAATAAAGAGAAAGGTACGCGAAAATTATTACTGTTATACCATTGTACACACTGTATTTGTTAAGTACGTTTAAAAAATCTTTAGAAATATTAATATTAAAAAATTATTTCCGCAGTTTCTTCTTTGTATAATTAAAACAAGTGTTTATTTAAACAATAAACGTTTTTTGCGTTTATCTTTACAGCTTTAGAACCTAGAGTAAGTTTGAAATTGTACCAAATTTTTCTTTTTCGCATATTACCGTTTTGTATTATACGTATGTTCGTGTGAAATTCTCTGGTTTTTATTACACCTACATAAAAGCTCTAATAGCACTTATTTATTTATGGTGCGAAATTGTCTGCCGCCGACATAAAATTAATGTGGTGTGTTGAAATCTGATATATTATAGTGGCTGAATTTCCCTAACCCTTTATTAATATTTTTAGTGGACATTATTGAAATCAAGTAGGTAATTATTGAAAATCCGATCGATCAACGAGGTAGGTATTACTGTAAACACATTGTCGTAGAAACGGAAGTTCAAAATTATGGTTAATCGATACTTAATTAGTTTCGAGAAGGATTATTCAGCAGTCGTAATTTTGCTTTGGCTTTAGGGTTACGGAAGTCGATAATGTTACTATATGGGTACACTTCCTAACAATCAATCATCGTTTCCCCTTTTATCATTACTGGGGGTATTATTTAAACTTTCTCTAAGTAGTTCAAGTGTTGAACACTGTATCTTATATCGAGCTCTAAATGATAGTAGCAAAATTTTAGGCGTGCAGGTATATACCCTTCTATTGATCGCCTACTAACAGGAAACTGTTTTGGGTTTAGGCAAGTAGTGCTTCTTACGTACCTACTCGACACACAAAAAAACTTTTGGGTGTTTCATTCCCACCAGCCAGTAATTCTGGTGGGCGGGCAGTCCCTCCGGACTACGCCGGAAGGTAGGGCGGAAGGCCCTCTTCAGCCTGCTTTCAGGAATCGTGGGAATGGGTGGGTGGTGGTTCGGGTGAGAAAGATGAGACGGACGAAATGAAGACACAAGAGAATGAAAAATTATCTGTGGAATATATTACTGCCTCAGCATTTGCCTAAGTGATCCAAGGAAACCACAGAAAAACTTGCACCAAGGCAGACGGACTCGGAATCGAACCGGTGTCCTCCCGAATGCTAAGCAATGGTCTAAACTCGACACAGTGATCCAGTGGTCAATCCGAAACATCTTGCAGGGCATTTCAAACATACACCTTTAACAATCTTCTGCGAATTTCTAAATCTAAAGTGACTTCTTTTTGTTGAAGGCGACTCGACCCTGCGTTATACTCTGTTTTATATCTTTACTAGTCATTCCATCCTGAGTTATCTAACTTCTAATTTTTCGCCCCCAATCATTTTATTCTTACTTTCCCTAATTTTTTTTCCCATGCATATCATTTTTGTTTTATTTATTTTTATACAATACTGTTTTGTCAATACTGCTTGTACTTTATTTAAGGCTATTTCTAACTACTCCTTTCTAAATGCTAATACTGCTTTATCATCCGCAAATCTGAGTAATTTTTATATCTATTCTTAAAGTTAACCTGTATTTAATGATATTTATCAAGTCATGAATGTGAAGATTAAAAGGTAACAATGACAGTGTGCATCCTCGTCTAACTCCCTTCCTAATATTTACTTCTCTAATTTGATGCTCAAGCTCTATAACTGCCTGTTGCTCTTATATGTATCGTTCTTCTAACTTTATATATCCCATTCCTACATTTTTAAGTATATTTAACATCTTGTCCCATTTAACATTGTCAAAAGCTTTTTCTAGATCTACGAATCCTATATACGCACCCGTTCCTTTTTCTCTATAACATCGGGTAACAACCCGTAAAGCTAGAATGGCCTCCCTCGTTACTTTATTTGTTCTAAATCCAAATTAGTTTTGACGCATGGGAAGTTAAGCTAATTGTTCTAAATGTCTCTCATCTAATAAAGTGGAGTGTAGTAACAATGATCCCGGGAATCGCAAGACCCACGTTAGTCAAATACGTACTATTTGCAAGTTTATTTGCTTATTAAAACATCCTTAATTGAGTTAACTTCTTACTTCTATAAAACAGATAAAGACAAAGCTATTGAATTCTATCAGCAATTCTTTAAAAGAATGAATTGTTTGAATTTTAGATTTTAAACAGGCTTCTACAGCAATTGCTTCTTCATAGAAATCAACTGTCGTGCTTTTGTTGCAATCGGTTTTTTAACTTTTCATTTTTTTATGAATTTCGCGTAGGGTCCGTTGTAAATCTTAGGCCCCGTATCATTGATATGACGGTAGCTACGCTCCTGTTTATTACAATGATCACTGAATAATGAAACTTAACTAATAAAATTGACCAAAGGCAAGTCGCATTGAGCGTTTCGTATATTTTTTCGTAATAATCATAAATTAATTAAAACCTACGTTTCTATGTACAGTTTCAAAATATGCCCAGTTTACACTTGACTTAAAAAAAAAAGAAGATTTTCAATTTAGCTACATTTATTTGTGTGCATATTACGCGATTTCTTCACCTATTCTATATCTCAAGACTAATCTCTTTTAAATTTGTTAAAATTATTCCACCTCTATAAGTGGAAGATTAGGGGTAGGTATATATGTAAACAGGTATTCTATTGAAGTCAATTTTTAGTATTTTCGTTTAATTATATTGTAAAGTTTGTGAAAAACAATTGTTTTCATGGAAAGCTTACACATTCATGTACGACTTTTCCTTATTATAGTTTGATATTAACTTTTACCTATTATTATATTTCACTGGAAATACTTCCGTTTTATTTCAAAGTTTTTCATAGAAAGTTGGACGACCAGTTGTAAATTTTAATTTAGAAATGATTTTGAAATTCTGTCGAACACCTCGTTACTATTATTACAACTTTCTCAGCAAATCACTTCTTATTCTTTTAATCAATTGTTTGTCTCGTGATTAACTGACTTACTACCACAAAGCAAGAACTAATTATTGTAAAGTGTCAAGGGAACAATTGATAAACGATTTAATTTGGAAGAACTTGATTAGACCGCAAACAAATTTGATTAAACATTTACTATTACTGAAATTTTCCTTTTTTTTTGCTTGAATTTTATAAATTAATAAATGAGTATAGGCTTTCACGGCCGGCGTCCTCAGTACAATTATTATTTGTTTTCAAGCTTTCTGGCCATTGTCTTTGGAAATTATTTCTTGTCGTTTCGTGTACTACTGAGGCAACCATTTTCAAGACCGAAAAGAGCAACTTCTTTGAAAACAAATAATAATTTTACATGAATTAATCATGAAATTTCACTACAATTTCACCGAAAATAGTTTAAGTTTCAATATTTTTTTTACTTCTGAAATTTAGTCCATTCTAATGATAATGAAACATGCACACATATATAACTCTGAATTCAAACGTTTAAGCTGTTTAATCTGAACGTTTGAATTAATTACCATCATTTTAATTTTTTATTTTATTTTCAAAATTAATGCGTTTGACTTATTTCCACACGTATTTTGTTTTGGGTAAATATTAAGTACTACATTTTTACACATATTTTTCAATTACTTCTTAATGATTTTATAGCTCAATTAATACCAATTTACCAACATTACTCTGCAAAAAACTGTTAGATATGTTCTTTTACTGAAATAAACGGATGTAATCTGCAAATAATAGTTGTTAAATATTCACAACTGATCAGTCCGGCATGGCATTCAGTTTCAGAACAACCGAAATTGTAAATAATTACAGCTGAATAATTAAACCCACTCTCCATGAATTTACGTGTACTAATGCTGTTCACAGGTAATGAATTGCCTGTACAACAGCGTATAACACGCGGCTGAACAAATTCCCTTTTATGGAATTTTAGTTGAAGCTTTGCATTTGAGTATTCGAATTAATATTTTAATTGGACGTTATTTTGGATTACTCATCGGGTAAACAATTTATGCCTTTTTATCGAATATATGTTCTACACATGTGAATGAGAAGCTTAATATTCCTAAGTAATTCAGAACTTATTCATCATCATCATAAGGTCATAAGGTCGTCAGTGCTAAGACTGGTTGGACACGTACCTTCAGTCTTTCCTATTCTGAGCTAATCTTCGCATTTCTTTAAAACTAGAACAACCCACATCCTTAACTATTTGCGAACAGTAATCTAACCTAGGTCTACCTCTACCCCTTCTAACTCCAGTTTCTGCCTCTAATATGTCTCTGACTAGACCTTCATTCCTACCAACCTATCTCGCCTATTTTTTATTGACTTCCATAGAGTCCTCTGTCCTCCTATTTTAATACCTCTTCATTTCTAACCCTCTCTATCCACGGTATCCTCATCATTCGCCTGTAGCACTACATTTCGAATGCTTCTAACGTTTTCTTTTCCGCTTCGCCCACTGTCCATGTTTCGCAGCCGTACAACACCACTCTCCAAACATACACCTTTAACAACCTTTTTCGAATTTCTAAATTAACCGTTCGCGAGCACAGAAGTGACTTATTTTTATTAAAGGCGTTTTTCATTCGGATG